AAACTACAGAAAGTAATGTGCCTTGATCAACACCAATTCTTTTTAACCTAGATTCTTGTCGAAATTTTCCCCGAAGAAAGGAGACTTATTACAAAGGTGGACTGTGAAGACCTAATTTTCTTGCGTAGATGAATATGGATATTTTAATACTCGTTGTTTAGACCCGACCGCAGTAATTCAGTCGAACTATGCTATCGCAACCATGCCCATCTATGATAGTTCGTTAGTTTTTTTTATTTTTCTCTAATCCCATTCACTTTCGAAGTAAGTTATTGGATTAAGCAAGTCTTTACGGCATTGGTTTCATCCCACCAACAATTATCAGGACTATTTGATTGTACTAATTTTCCGTTTCTTTGTAATTAGGGTCGAGCATGTGGGTGTGGCGACATATGTGACATGCGAAAACTATCCTCCCACTGACTGGACGATTTGTAAAATAAAATTTTACATCATTCCAATGTGGGGCGATACTCCAGGTCTAGTTGGAGGTAATTTGTATTCTTCACTTCATTTTTTGCTTCATTGTACGACGTTACAGATGCCAATTTTGTAATCACTGTTAGGCTGCTATTATTACAGGTATCTTTGCAGACAGTGTCAAGTGGTAGGTTCGTAGAACTGTGACAAGTAATTGTAGTTATCGATAGTATTATTCTCAGTTGCTGTTTGTAATCATAAGCTGTGCAAAATTTATCGGCGTTTCGTTGGCTTATATCCCACAGCACTCATTGGGTAACACATTCTTATTAATAAGGTTATGGTAGTTTGTACCTACTAATATGTCAAGTTCAACTTTAGTTTGTGGCATCGCTTCAAATGTCTTACTCTTGTCCTAGATGCTTTCGAGCAGCGAGCAGCTCAACACCTCAATATTTTTATCAAATGCCCCAGTCACATAAGTCGTAGTGAAATATTTATAAATATTCTTCAATTATCGCTGTACATGCGGCGTTTTCAAATGGAATTAATATGCGGATTGTAGGAGCCGATGTGGAATATCGCAATATTTGGACAGGCGAGCGCCAGACGGCGCCTTCACCTCTGACCGACTGGATGCTCTCATCCTATGAGGTGTAAGTCTGTCCCGCTGTATTCCAGCAACAACTTTATAGTTCCCAAATCTCTTGATTAGTCACTAAGTGTACTTCCTTCCTTGCCTGTAGTTTTCCTAATTTCTACCGAATAAGTAGCCATAAATCGCCACTACTATGTAGTTGTTCAAAGATCAAGGGAGTTGCGTCAATTTAAAATAATGCAGTTGCCTCTACTTTCCCCTCAGTTATGTACTTCCATGAGAGGTTAATTGAGTAATTAGTGCATGCCTTTGTGGTGCAGAGAGGAGCTGGAGTTAGAAGAAGGCGAGACACTGAGCAGCATCAAAGTGCACAGTGGGTGGCTGGTGGATAAGTTGGCGTTCGTGACTTCGACCGGACGACATGCTGGGCCCTTTGGTCACAGCAATGGCGGTGGTGTACGGAACTTTGTTGTGAACAAGAACCGCAGCCCTCGCAGTGACTCCGGGCTCATATATTCCTGCCTCGCACTCCACGGGTTCAGTTACTCTCTTATACGCACTCTAGGCTGTCCCTCCTGGTTCAATGTGCACTTCCTCTATGCTGCTGTCGAAGGACGGTGTGCGTTTACTATGAGGATTTGACTGAAATACTGGTTATTTTGATTTCTTTTCTATTACAAACTTTTTTTTCCAACTATTTTATAGCAGTGGATGTAATGTTGTGGTTCAATAATTGCATATCCTAAGACTGTAAATATCCGTGACGGGTGCTGCCAACGCAACTCTAGATGACGCCTCACCTATTTCACTGCATTTAGTCAAGAAGGGTGGAACTACTTCAAGTATTTAAAATAAGTTAGCAAAGTAGGCGCACGTTACAGGCGGCAGTTTCTTGCATTTCCTTGGGTCATGTGGAACCCCCGTTTGGCGTCTGTTGCACTTTGATGGTCAGGGTGGTTCGTGCGATTTTCCGAGCAGCTCGTGCTGATGGCTTGTCGTAGCATGGCAGACACCTGCGAACTGCCTGAAATCGATTACATGCATTATGAGGCATGGATACTAGTCAGTCCGTTGACATGATACCCTTCACCATGCTTTATGCCGTTTTCGCATGACAAATCTATCTGGACTTTGTCTGCTTTACGAATTTGAAGTTGATTTCAAGGCCTCGCAAGATCTTATAATTCGCTGAGTAGAAATTGAAGGGAATGTTGTTGTGGAGCGTATCGCTCACAAATGGTTTAAGCAGTCTGTCTATGATGCATTACTCTGAGGTAGATGTGCCACACTATGAAAGCCTCTCCGCTCTCAATGGTAATGAAGAGGTACATGACACCATCAGCGCATTAATATTTCGACAGGAAAGCGTCAAGAACTTCCAGTCACATTTGGCGTGTGCCCTGAACGCTTTGTACGCATCTGCAAGATCGACTGGCAAAGTCGATGAGTGCCACTTGGTATGCATTATGAGATGGCGACAGGCCTCAAATGCAAGCACTTTTTGTTCACTTCTTTCGCCCTATACAACAAGCCTTTTCATGCTTTCTGACCAACTGACTTGTGATGAGGAGTGGCTTTCGTAATCCCATGCTAACCAGGCAAATGCACAATATCTTTGTCAATACCCAGACGAGTTTTTCACTACCCATCCCACATTTCCAAGACACGTGACACTACTCCGGAGGAATACATCTGCCTCGTTTTTGGTGAACAGTAGACATGATGGCTAACCATCGGTAAATCGCTTTCTGACAACCAAAAATTGCGGTTTCGTTCTACCACATGTATGTGCCCACGAAAGCGTGTTCGAGGGGAACTATTTTGGAGACAATTAGGGCCAGCCAATCATCCAAGCTCATTCGAACTGAACTTTGACAGTTTTAAAAATGGACCAACTGGTAGGTAAATAGACAAAAATAAAAATATCAACATTTGAGATTTGGACAAACTGGCGTAAAGATGATAAAACTGTAGCCTAAAAACCAAACTCGAGTCGGTGTTTTGCTGTGAACGAGAGGTCATCAACACAGGTTTAGCAGGTCATGAAAACACCCTGGAAAGGGCACATCCACTGCATAATGCCGCCAGCAGCATTGATTCACGTGACCGAGGAGGTAGGCGGAAAGGGCGCTGGCGTTTACTCTCTTATCATCGTGACCAAATCGCTTCAAACGCACTTGAAAAGAAACGAAAAGAGGCTATGCAAAGGTGCAGTGGAATAGAGGTGTTGCAAGCGAAAAGATTAGAGTTTTAATTGAACGTGACCCAAATGGCGTAGCTTAAGAATTGAAACAGCAAAGTGCAGGAGTGGAGTTGCCAAATGAACGGACACGATGGACATCATTTGAAGTATTTGGACGGTCTCTCTCAAGCGCCTCATATCATCCAAATCTGCAGAAAGAGCAACACCAGTTACTGAGGGCGCGTCAGTGCTAGGTTGATTAAAAACCACTGAGAAGCAGATTATTTGCAGACAAATCTGGAAGTGTTTCCCTGTGTACGCAATCGCAGCATTGTGCAGCGAATGCTGAGAAGCGTAACCGGACTGGGAGGGTAAACTACGCCTTATTTTTACAGCTCTTCCATAACCATTACGACTAGGAGTGCCAAAAGGGAATGCCCACACTAACGAATGCGTACACTTGGTAGCCACGCTCGTCTGCCACTACGCTATCCACCCATCACCTAAAGGTGCCTCAACTCAATTAAGAAATAAAAGTGCCTCAAGATGTTGTAGGAAATAACTGATCTTAGCCTAAGAATACACATGCACACTATAGGGTGTGATTCTCATTAA